TGCACATATAATACATTTTGTAATCATGTCAGAGCCAAAACTGTTAATGTTTCTTTGTTTTTTCGGGGGGGGGGGTCAGCATGTTTTTAGTTTTAAAATATAATGTTTGGGGGGTCACCCACTTGTTTTTACTTGATAGGGGGTGGGTCAACTGAGATTTACAGCTGGCAAAATGGAATCTGCCGACCCCCCTAGGCCGAAGTAACTGACCAATCCCTTAAATAATATTTATTCTAATTACCTGTTTCAGATATGCTTATTGTCTATTTTACTTGATAAAATCGATATGGTATATGTACGTGCATGCCGGACGTGTATTTCAATGTACGACAATAATTTAATAATTAGCTTATTCGCATGGTGGTTAATTGCGAAAACATTTTTCTTCTGGTTTGATGTGTGGTTATTTCTACAGACTTTGGCGTGTTCGAAGAAATGTTCGATCACGTGCGACCACGAAGTTTGCAAAATATAAAAGCGATGTAAACAAACGAATACAATGCAATACAATATTGACATCACATACCCAAAGCTAATACACTGCTGATAAAAGTCATCGTGATACTGAGAGACAAGTCACCATCCAGTAAAACGGAGAATATATTACTCAGTCCACCCCCTGGGCAAGAACCCATCAACATCAGACCAAGGGCTGACTCTAATGACAGGGAGAACGCCACAGATAGCACAAAAGCAAACTGCAAGCAATAACATTAACATACAATGATGAGATTATATTAGTTGATCGTGTAGATGTTTCTTACAAAAATTACATGATTTGTCCGTATGGGGAAACGTTTCATATGTTTGTAGCATGTTCTTCTCTGACTGCGATATACCAGTTTACATTTGACTAACATTACCTAGCTATTGGCAGCCATATTGGTGCGTTGTAAGCAGTTTTCAATACGTCTCATTGTGGAACATGAATGAATGAATGAATAAATGTATAGATAAATAATTAATTAAAAAAAATAATGAATTAATAAATAAATAATATATATAGAAATGTTTTCCACTAAGAGTTTTTTGTACACATTTTATTCAGTGCTATTTAACCTATCTAAACTCGGTCTGACTCAAGATATTTTAGGCTACATGATTGACACATCAATTATCTTTTCATTCTATATAGGTGTCAAACCAAAATTAGAGATGCGATGTAATCGTCTCTAATTTGTATAATTTGAAAACCACTTTTCACAAGGAATGATAAGACTAAAATTATTTTATTCAATATTCTACTAGAATAATTTGTGAATATAATATGGGCAAAAAACCAGCTGGTATTGAGATGATAGACACTTGATTAAAATAAATAACAAATGCCTAATAAAATAATAATAAAAACATTGGTACTTCACTAACTGACTTTATGTGTAAAATAGACCAATCTAAACATTATCGTTTGTGTAGAGTTCCATTGAATTATGGAACCTTTAGTCAAGTATCGATGTGTCAATATGCCATAAATTTATAATGAACCAATTATTTTACACATTTATTTATTAGAGACAAACGTTCTTACTGTTACTGGTACCGGTTTATTCAACATGGCCGCTATTCCCGTGAAAATATACTATTAGTAGGTGTTCGTTTTCAAGAATATACGTGCACGCAGTCAGTGACACCGTAGGTATACAAATAGTCTAGCCTCCTATCAAACTTAACAATTAGGGTATGTATGGTCAGCTCAACAGTCAATACTCTACTTCTATAACAACTGGATATTTGGTTTTCTTACGTGGAATGTTGTCAGACTGTATTAGGGTCGGTCGCAAACAATTTGACGCTATCATAATAAGAACATTAAACACGGCTACTGTTTTCTAATTAAATATGTAGTTTTATAACGATGCAGGATAAAGCCGTCATTTTAACAAAAGAACACAAACCTAACATGTGATGTTATATATTGTAAGTTGTTTGTTTGATGTATTGCATCTGTGCTCGGAATTGAACACAACGTTCCGCTCTCACGATATAAGGTAATTCAAAGATAAAAAAACACAGATTATTGCTGTTATGGCATGACCGTGTACTGCGAGCGGAAGACGAAACGCCACTGAACATTTGTTTGCAAATTTTTTTGTCAGCGGGTTTCTGCCAGTATTATAGCATGCGTCAAACCGACAGTTTAATTAACAGCTGAACGTTTATTATGTAGTACACAGCACACTCATGTCAAAGATCAGATTATATATAGGACCGTAACTTACACTAGTTTGACGCGACATGATTGACTTATACGCCTCGCATAGCAGCACGTAACTACTGGTAACTAACATACGTAACTAGTAATGATGGCTTAGACGGTAGAAGCATTGGCAAATTTATTATTCTAATATGTTTACATCACCTTGATGGTGCCGTAATTTTGCGGTATTGCACTGGGTATTTTCATCGTACCATATTAGGAAATGCGAGGTCCAAATATGGAACGATCACGCGCGTAAGCATCCTCTAATAATGAAAACAAACATGGCGGTTCCCTAGACGCAGACATCAAACAAATAACTTCGTTAAATCTGTTCTAAACTTTTTGGATTTCGGCTTTACCATGATGTATCATTGGAAGGAAAAGATGTATAATAATAAGGTTATTGCGACGTTACCGCAAAGTATCAACCCAGACCGTACGCCGTCGTATCGACCTCCGCTGCACGTCGTTCGATAAACCCGCTGTACTGTCTTTGTGCATACTTTTCGGTATCCACGTAATAACCTCATAATCACGTGACATAAAAACGATACATCACATTCGTGTATATTGCTTTCAGTACATATAACATTAATTTTGAGTAGCATCGGAACATCGTATATATTATCAACTTTTGGAAATAACGCCCCCCCCCTCCTCTCCCCACGCACACAAACTCAAAAGTGTGTTCTTTCGACGGGACTGTAAGAGAGGCAAATAGTGGTACTATTGCTTCTATTCTATTCTATTCTATTCTATTCTATTCTATTCTATTCTATTCTATTCTATTCTATTCTATTCTATTCTTTCCCGGCTACTGGAGGTGGATATCCCCGGTTCTCACATGGTTGACTATTTTAAGTGACCCCATGCTCTGCCATCTACTGCGTCTACTGTTGTAAGTGAACCCACACCGGTGGTATCATCATCGATTATGGGAAGAGCCCCGTCTGTATATATATTTCGTTTCCTCCTATTTAATCATTAAGGTTCAAGTCAGGTAACAGTATTATTTCAGATCCCATTAAGTCTGTTCCGTCTCTAGGCAACAATCACTCAGAGCTTATTTGTAAACAATTCATTCACCTGGCAACAAATCACTACAATATAAATGTTGTCGGGCTTTTCCACATAAATAATCCCAGGGGAATTGTCCCAGACAGACTACACAACTTCCTAGACTACAGTTTCTTTGCAAACTTAAAGGAAATGTCCAGCATTATAATACCATGAACAAACAAGCAAGTAAGTCATTCACTACTGGACCTCCGGTCAGTGCACCCACAACATTCTTATCAACTGACATTCCACCAAAAATTATATACACGTACAAGCGAGTTGATATGTTCATAGATAAGTAGCAAGCTAAACTACTACATTGAACAGTGAGTTACTTCAAAAACAGCTAAAATGTGAAATTATTTGTGTTTCTGCTTGTCATCAGTCATGGAGTTAAGCTCAAACATAAAAAAGTTCACAGAAAGCTAAAATTCAGTCTTCAAATACATCCAAACTATAACATTTTGGATTGAAATAATTAATCAGAATTGTGAATATACGTACTTTGAATTATGTGTGGTATTGTAAAGTGGCATAGCCACTCGTCATTTTGGAGTTTGTACACAGTAAACTAAACAATACTCATGATGCTCTGCTTCATTTTAATTTTGTTATTTTCTCCATTATGAACTCTATAATGCGAACATTTTTAATGTAGAATATATGTGAACATATTCCCCCACTACTGCATGTATACAAAACAGTGTTGGTTGGTTCAGCAAGGTATTTGGAGGGGTGTGTGCAAAAGACACATAGTGGTAAATTGGATACTTTAGGAGAAATTAACAACTAAAATTAGCAAAGGAGAAGACAACGTTACATAATAAATATTGATAAGGAATGTCCTGTACATAACAAATATTCACCTATATGAGGAATGTCCAGTACACAACAAATATTCACCTATATGAGGAATGTCCTGTACACAACAAATATTCACCTATATAAGGATTGTCCAGTACATAACAAATATTCACCTATATGAGGAACGTCCAGTACATAACAAATATTCACCTATATGAGAAATGTCCAGTACACAACAAATATTCACCTATATGAGAAATGTCCTGTACATAACAAATATTCACCTATATGAGGAACGTCCAGTACATAACAAATATTCACCTATATGAGAAATGTCCAGTACACAACAAATATTCACCTATATGAGAAATGTCCTGTACATAACAAATATTCACCTATATGAGGAATGTCCTGTACATAACAAATATTCACCTATATGAGGAATGTCCAGTACACAACAAATATTCACCTTTATGAGAAATGTCCTGTACATAACAAATATTCACATATATGAGGAATGTCCTGTACATAACAAATATTCACCTATATAAGGATTGTCCAGTACATAACAAATATTCACATATATGAGGAATGTCCTGTACATAACAAATATTCACCTATATGAGAAATGTCCAGTACACAACAAATATTCACCTATATGAGAAATGTCCTGTACATAACAAATATTCACCTA